TGGAGACCTTTGAACTTTTGAGAATCGAGTTTACTAAAGTCCGTAGAGGTGAATTCATTGTTTCAAACACCTATCTTTCAAATTTTGGCGTAATCACCTAAATTCAAGAAGAATAGCCACACATACCCATATTTCCTACCTCGAACCAAAGAGCCTAACAATTGAAAGCCACAAAGCCCCAATGATCCCAATAGCTTAATGTTCGATATTAGTAGAGTAGAATAATTTGGTGAGTATTTGGAGTCAAGCATATGCATGTAAGTATAAATTCTTTCTATCTTTAATTTGCAAATATTGGATGCTTGAAGCAATTGTATGAATTGTGGTTTTTGGTAATGGTGAGTGACTAAGTGTTGTTGAATTTTGAGCTTGCGAATGCCTAAGAATTGTCATTATAATTACAAGTTCTGAAAACGTGAAGTTGGTCATTGATCTATGTGATGAGATGTTATCGTTGAGTTATTTGCTTGTTGGTAGATTTTGCTTGAGGACAAGCAAAAGTTCAAGTTTGGGGGTGTGTTAAGTGTATATTTTTACACTTTATCATATCTTTTTATTTGAGCTTTTGGTGTGTTTTAACGATAATTGGTGCTTAAAAAGTTGATTTATTGTATTTTAGGTACAAATTGAAGAATTGGAAAAGTATGGGGTCAAAACTGCAATTTTGGCGAAAATATGGGTCAAAAGTGAAAATATCAAAATTCTGAAGATTTAAAGCTGAGACCCCCGTCCCAGTTTTAGTGCAAATTGTGAGACCCCCGTCCGAGACTCTGAAATTGCGCAGTAAAGGAATTTTAATTGCACAAGGAAACTGTCTTCTTCCCCAAATTCTTCACCCTATATAAGACCAAGCCAAGCACACAATTGGGGATCCATCTTTTTACGCAAAATCAAGAGGAACGAAGATCAACGAAGACTCAAGCATAGTTTTTCTTATTTATTTATTTTATTTTCTTTATCATAAGAATCACGAGTAGCTAAGTCTTTATTTCTAGGATTTTATTTGGAACCCTATGTGGGATTTATGAACCCTTTTCTATGATTTTATGCAAGTTTTAAGTCCGGATTATTTCTTCTACTTGTTTTATTAAGTTCATGAAACTGGCCACTTTATGCGCTTTTATGTTATTGTTAATCGCATGAATCGGAAGATCGGGTTAATAATTAGAACTGTGGTAGAAGAGCCTTTGTGGTATTAACATAGGAATATAGTTAATCTCTTAGGTAGCCATTATTGAGATTTGTGCTTAATGCTGTGTTCTAGAATTAATTGCATAGGAATATAGTAATTGAATCTAGAGTATTAGAATCGTAATACACGCGGAAGCGGGTTATGATTATTTTAGCATCTCAGGTTAATAATCCGGGTTAATTGCTTGCATAATTGAAGGAATTGGGGGAATAATAATCACATAGGGGGAATAATAAAATCCTAGGCTTGTCTACTTTGATTAATCTTCGTTTTTAAATTGCTTTCGTGTTCTTGTCTTTTTAATTTTCTTTTTAATTTATTTTAATTTAGTTAATTCTCTCTAAATTCGACTGTGTAGGGTGGGCTTGATAATAATAGGTAGAATTTAGCGTCTAGGATTAGATAATTAAATATTCCCTGTGGGTTCGATATCCGGACTTAATTGTCCGCTATATTACTTGTACGATACGTGCACTTGCGTGTAGGTTTTCGGCCAACAGGGGGTGAGTGTAATTATCAATACAATAAAGACTTTAAAATTATTTAAGTATACCTCAGAGGTATAGGTGTAATTTACCCTAAAAAATAATCATCTAATTGTTGGGTGGGATTGCGCATTAAGTTTGAAAAAATCATTCAAATGTTTCCACAAACCATTAAGAGAAAGTAAAAAACCAATATTGAAACTAAAATTCAAAAAAATATTTTCTTCGTCGAATTAAAATTTTGAAATAATAAATTGAGATACTGAAATGATCGTTAATTTTTTTTATATTACATATGCATCATTTAATTAATGGTTTGAAGAACGTTTAGGCAAGAAAGTAAATGCACCATTAGAGTAAAGTAAAAGTCGTACCATTGATATTATTAATAGAGGGTGTAAGTGTTACATTTATTACATGCAGGTGTAAGTGTTACCACACTTAATAATTTAAGAGTGCAAACTGTAGTTTAATTTACCCTTGAGAGATTCCATACACTTTTTCGTGAATTCATCCGCGGGTAAGGTACAATTTTGTGGCAAGTTATATTGATGATCTATCTCTTGAAAATAACTCCTGTCAAAGTACCAGTCCGCAATAGCCTTTGCAATCGTCTGCAAAAGTATAATAATTAACACGAAAGATCACAATATTAAACATGAACGAAACATATGCAATTATTCATGGGAAAATTACAACCAGCCCTGATGTATGGTCAAATTATGAAAATCCCCCTCCTATTTGGGTAATTACAACCACCCCTCAACTATAAATCTTCTTACACGTCCACCCTTGCGGTTTCAAATTTAGTGGAATCTTCGAGATTATATGGAATATTATCACTTTTGTACCCGTTTTATCCCATTCGAATCCTACATTTTGAAGCAAGATGGTCATTATGTGTTTTTTGACTTATAAATATCAGATTGTGGTGCATTAGAAACTGTATTTTTTCACAAAACGAGTACGATCTAGAGCACATTCCACGAAATATTGATGATTATGTTGAATTTGACACAATAAGGATTTTTTTTCGTAAATTGACCATACCTCATGGGGTGGTTGTAACTTACCCATGATTTAAATTAGGGAGAAAAATGAGTAAGTTTATGTTTGCATACGGTACAATTAGTAAATCTTACTTTATCCGCGACCTTGGGTGAGCACGCCCACCCGTCTCTACTACCGATGTGGCCATGGCGATAGCATGAATGAACGAACAATCCTCTACACGCGGATTTGTCGATAACGTTTAGCAGTGTCTCAACAAAGACATCCCTAAACTCTGAAATAAATCAAGATTGTAATTAATTAATTAGATGATAATTATTTATTTCTTTTTTAATTATGTTGAAATTAGTTGCAATAATAATTTGATTACCTTTCATGTAGTGTAATTGAGTTGAATTGCAAAGTGTTAAATTTGTAATGCAGCTATTCCATTGTTTCTTACCACCAAGAACAGGTATCATAAGATCTTCAGTCTGAAACACACATTCAGTTCAACAATACATATTTTTTTTTTAAACAATTAATCAATACATAAAATAAAAATAAATTCGAGCCAACATTTAAATTGTACCATTTTCATGAAATTGAGGTTACCTGGAATTTTTCGAAACCTGCTTCGACTACAAAGAGTGGCGTCTGAATATCTCGAATAAAATTCTCAGGGAAAAGACACTATAATAATTATACATACATATATATATAAATTGTCATTAGTATTTAATGGGATTTGATTTACTTGTAATATTGATATAAAAATGATTAATATAATCAACTCTCACCAAGTTGGAATCCATTTTTGACGTGCATTTAGTTGGCAAACGTTTGGCAAGTTCCTGCATGCCATAGTATAATATAAGAGAGAGAGAGAGAGAGAGAGAGAGAGAGAGAGAGAGAGAGAGAGAGAGAGAGAGAGAGAGAGAGAGAGAGAGAGAGAGAGAGAGAGAGAGAGAGAGAGAGAGAGAGAGAGAGAGAGAGAGAGAGAGAGAGAGAGAGAGAGATTTACATGTGTTTGAACTACGTGGGCAAAGTAGTTTTCTCTGTACTTGGTTCCAATAAGATGTTTTCTGTCATAATAATTACATTCAAAGGTATATATATATATAAATAAGGTTAAAAAAAATATTTTGCAAATTCTTAAAAATGAAACAAGAATGTTTTAATTTGTAAGACTTACCCATGAAGGAAAGTACCAGAATCAGCAACGCATTTCACTCTACCAGCATTGGGCAATAATCCCCTAAACTTGTCGCAATTTAACGTCGTCGCTAATCCACCGGCCGACCCACCGCTCAGTATAGCCTATCATTTTTATGTAAAAATATTTAAAAGGAGGGGTGGTTGTAATTACCCAAACATGAGGGGTTTTTTCGTAATTTGGCCATACCTCAGGTGGCCATAATTTGCCTTAAAATAATTGTAAAGTAATTTCTGAAAGATTTGAAAATCAACTCATGTCTTTTTAATTTATATATCTCAATGAATAATTTTTAATTTATTTAATTAATTAAATTTAAATATTAATTTATCAATCATGAAAATTAGTAAATACTTACATTATCAGCATTCTTCATTCCTTTAGCTAGAAGATCATCCATTATAGCATCAAATATCCTTGCTCCTCTATATGTCACATTTGTTTCCTGAAAATCATTTATTAATTAATATATATTATTTATATATTTATATAATATATAAATAAATAATAAATAATAAATGAAATTGAACTTACTGGATCAACTTCTTCGATATCGGCCATAAACGGCGCGCCGTCACAATACGGAATATAAACTCGATTCCAATTGTAGAAATCTGAAAGAAACAAATAAATATTATATAAATACTATTTAATAAATGAATGCATTTGTAAATAATAATTACCTGGATTCAATGTCTGGTTATTGTCCAAAATTCCTGAGAAAAATGGGCTGGACTTTAATAAAGTGCTTCCAATCGGTATTTTCGATCTATCGAAACAATCAGCTTTTGAACTACACCATCCACCACCCTAATATATTTATTTCCGAATTCAAAATATTAAATTTTATCGCCAAATAATATTTTATGAAATAATTATATATTAGAAAACGACTTTGTTGCACTTTGCACCCTTGAAATGTAACATTTTGACACTTTACACCCTCAAATTTGTTTATAGCAATCTGCACCCTCAAAACACAATAATTCATTCACAATGGTTCATCTTAAAACTGGTATCTTTCAATGAAAAAAAATCGCAATAAATTAATTAAATATTAGTTTTTATATGACAAAAAGAAATTCCAAATTTTTTCTCACCAAATTATCGGAGAGGTAGGTCTTTTACTGCAGTAAATATAAATTGATATAGTCAATCATGGTAACTTTATTTTTCAAACATGTTTATGTTACTCGTGCAGTGTCGAGTTAAAAGAACAAATATCCTTCAACCATTTTCGTTTATCAAAATAATTAAAGCAATTTTTTTCACAAATTATAATCAACGATAAATCGGTCGAATGTTGACAAAAAATATGAGATTTTTTTTTTTTTTTTGCGATAAAAAATTTAGCTTTAAATTAATTTATTAAGCTATTTTTTTATTATTTGCATTTTGTACGTTAAAAAATTTTCACCAAAAAAATGTCATTAAAACAATGAATTTGCCTCATTAACTATCAGAAATTCAAGCCGAGGTGCGTTTTTGAATTGCTTATTGTGTTCCAAGGATGTAAAATGTTATTAAATTTTTCTAGGGGTGTAAAATGACAAAATAATTTATTTTGAGGGTTCAAAATGAAATTAAGCCATTATAAAAACCAATTACCTCAATAAAAAGCACCCAGCTATTAGCTCCATCTCCAATTCCTTCGTCTAAGGCGTAAGCCGGTGGACTCCCGTCCAAACAAACTGTATCAAATATATATAACCAAATTTGTATATTATTTTATGGCTATTTGATTAGCAAAAAATTGAAATTAGAAGGGTAAATACGTAATTTCACCTGCTCCTTTCGGTACAGCCCACTCTAAAAATGTTAAGTTGACAAATTTAGCCCCGTGGGCTAATTGAGCGTTCAGTATAAAAACCGAACACATCAATAGCTTAATTAACCAGTGATCAACCATGGTTTGAATGTGTTTCCCCATTCTTTACGCACATGCAAAAATAAAATATTAAAAATAATTAAAAAAATTAACTTATTCATTTTGAACATTATTTTGCAATTGAAGATAAAAATTACCTTATGAACCACGTGCGTGTGATCACTTGGTAGTAAATTTTATTTAGAGGTTATTCCTCTAAAAAAATAATTATTTATTTGTGTTTTATTTTAATTTTTTTGCTTTGGTTTAAATAGTAGTAGGGTTCATTATGTTAAGCGGATTTTTCTATGGTGCAACGAAGTAATTGCTCTTGGATCTATATCATCCTTTCCCTTTTTTTTTATTTTTTTTTTATTTTTTATTAATAATAAAAATATATTTATGGGGATTAATTCAAAGTAATCATGAAGTTTTAATTTTTAATGATAAATTTTAAACTAACCATCCAAAGCATTGCCTAATTATATCAACTTGTTGTGTTGATTTTAATATGTTATAAAAGCAGAAAAGGTATAGACCCAACCCATCTTCTTTCCATTTTGTTAATATTATTGTATTAACTTTGAATTTGAATTTGACCCGTTTCCAGTTTGATTTTGACAACATTTTTAAACACGAAAGCTATAGTTTGACTTAACTTTCTAGTCCAACTTCAAATAAATCCAGCTCATTCAAACTTATTTGCAAATAAGGAGAATCCTTTTATATATACCAAAATTACCCTTAATTCATAGAAACCCAATTCAACTCCAATTTCATGATTTACACCCCAATTTAGCCAAATTTCATCAATTAACCAATTTTAACCATAATTTTAATTTTGACCCCAATTTTGACCCGCCACCACTGGAGACCGCCGGTCGCCGCCGTTGACCGCCGGGTCTCCGGCGTTGACTTTTTTTTTTTTTTTATATAATTTTGTTTTTTTCTTAAATAAAATATTTTAATTAATATTATTGTTTTGGCTGCAAAATTACTGTCTCATGCAGTTATTTAACTGTCGGAGACAATAATTTAACTGTTAATTGACTTTTTTTTTCCTTCAAAAATATTTTAATTAATATTACTGTCTTCGCTGCCAAATTACTGTCTCCAGCAGTTATTTAACTGTCGGAGACAGTAATTTGACTGTTAATTGACTTTTTTTTTAAAATATTTTAATTAATATTACTGTATTCGTTGCTAAATTACTGTCTACAGCTGTTATTTAACTGTCGGAGACAGTAATTTAACTGTTAATTGACTTTTTTATTCTTAAAAAAATATTTTAAATTAATATTACGTATTCGTTGCTAAATTACTGTCTCCAGCAGTTATTTAACTGTCGGAGACAGTAATTTAACTGTTAATTGACTTCTTTTTTTTTAGAAATTTTTTTTCTTAAAAAAAATTATTTTAATTAATATTATTGTCTTAGCTGCTAAATTACTGTCTCCAACAGTAATTTAACTGTCTTAGACAATAATATTAATAATATTACTGTTTGGGAAAATAATATTCATAATATTACTGTCCCAAAGAGTAATATTACTGTCTGAGACAGTAATTTAGTAGTCAAGACAGTAATATTAATTAAAATATTTTTTTTTAAGGAAAAAAAAATTCGAAAAAAAAAATCAACGCCGTATACCGGCGGTTAACGGTGGTTGACCAGCCGGAAAAAATTTCAGGAAACAAAAAAGTTTTCAAAAAACAAAAAAAGTCAACGCCGGAATCTGGCCGGAAATTA